GCTCGCAGCGAGGGGGCAGTCAGGGAGGCTGCGCTCTCACCCTGTCCAATGACTAAGAAGAGTTTTACAACAATGGTCACATAGTAGACATCATTTACAGGCACATCTCAGAGGTACTGCTGGCTTGGTCCCAGACACTGCCGTTAAGGCAATATCGCAGCAGGGCGAGCCACCCAGTGTTAGCTCTCAGGGATTATAAGTGCAGGGCACCCCTGTAGTCTAAGAAATGTACAAAGGCGTGAAGAAAGAGCTTGAAATCCTGTGCAAAAGGCCAGAATGGGAACAGAGGCAGGAAGTGGGTGCATGCTGTTATAAGAATGACACTTGTTGTTGCCCTGAGCTAATCTTTAAACCAAAAAGATCCCCTAAAGGGTTAAAACGAAACAATAAATAAAAATTACTTGCTTTGAGATTGGACCAAATTGACTACAGCAACTCAAAATATTAATTAGAACCGTAAGGATCAGGGAGTTTATGTTCCATGAAGACAGAGCAGCTTGGAAAAAGGGGTGAGAATGGCTACAGAACTTGAGAAAGTAATCCTATCTCATCACTGTACCTGTATAAACCATATTTTGCTATGCATATTCTCAGCAACAAAAAAGAAAAACATTTAAATCTGTAAAAAAAAAAAAAGAATGGCACTGGTAAGAAGCTGCACTGCAATCCTAGAGGTACGTGGTTTGAATCTACCAGATGTTCTGCTGGAGAAGGAGGGGAAATCTCCCCCTGTACCAGTCAGATCCAATTTGACAGTACACACAAATAAAATAAAAAAAATTAAAACATTTTTTAAAAATGAAAAAAAAAATAGAATGGCACTGGTACACTAGGTCTGTGCAGGGTGCCCGCAAATCTTCAATTCACAAAACACGCAACATCTGCCAAGTGGGATAAAGTGAGTGCAATAAAATGACGTCTGCCGGTGGCAAACAAGTGGGGAGGGTGGAACCAGGCTCCGTGACTGTAGTCAGGGGCACAGGACCCGCCAGTGAGGCCCCAGATGCCGTCAGAGCTGACCGTGTGGTGGCAGACAGGAGACGCCTGGCCCGGACGTCACCAATACATGGAGCCACAGGGCTGCAGCTTCCAGGGCTGGGCCTTGCTCTGTTTTCTTTCAGAAGTAGATCATTGCTGTTAGTGTTCCCCAGCCCCCCCAAGCTGTTTCTATTATATAGCTGATTGATATGCTCCTGAATTAACTCAATTTCATTTTGGGAAGTCACTGAAAAGATAATAATATCCAAAGAAAAACTCTTGGAAAAAATCCGCTTTGTCCTTCTCAAATACACAGGGTGAATTCAGTGGGCAGTGGGAATTAGTGATCACGCCCCACTCACGGGAGGACAGTGAGGTGCTGGTCACTGTGAGGAGGGGTCCAGGGGATTCTGATTAGCAGCACCCCATGTGCTATGGAGTAGAACTCACCCACAGTGTGTCTGCGCTGTAACCTTTGTGCAAGTAGGTCACTGGGACCTTAATTTTGTATCTGGGTAGGTTTGAACTGTCAATGTTTGAATGAGCAGCTGAAAACTCTTGCAGGACCCAGGCTCTCTCACGTGGTAATGCTGTCTGAGCTGTCCCCATCTCTTCAATTCCCTGGGGAAGGTGTTTGGGTGCCAGGCTCCTCTCTGCTCAGGCAGGAAGCAACTTGTTGGAGTTCTGAGTCCAGGGTTCTCGGAAGCGAAGCTTTCTCTCTGTCCTTGCTCATCTCTCCCTCATCTCCACCCAGAGCTGTGCAGGAGGTGACGGGGCAAAGAGGCATCGTCATCACTCGCTCCACCTTCCCCTCCTCTGGCCGCTGGGGAGGCCACTGGCTGGGAGACAACACCGCTGCGTGGGACCAGCTGAAGAAGTCCATCATTGGTGAGAGGCCTGTTCCCAGGGCGTGCGGGCAGAGGGTGCGCCCTGACAGACTCCTGAGGAGGGCTGAGGGTTGGGTGCCCCGGCTGCCCCTCTGATGGGCACTGGCTCTCTTGCAGGCATGATGGAGTTCAGTCTCTTTGGCATCTCCTATGTAAGTTCCCCTTGGGTCACACCTGGTCCCCAGGCATGGACAGCATCTTCCAGAATCCTGACAGTCTCTTGTTATTCCATCTTGCTGTAGACGGGGGCAGACATCTGCGGCTTCTTTCAAGACACGAATTATGAGCTGTGCGCCCGCTGGATGCAGCTGGGGGCCTTCTACCCCTTCTCCAGGAACCATAACACCATTGGGACCAGGGTAGGACGCTCACGCGTAACTCTTGTCACTTCAGTCAGTGTCCACTACTGAACCACGGTGATTGAACTGCATGATCTGGTCCCTGGGGATGGCCTCAACATCTCCACATCCTCATGCCTCCATGCATGGTTTTCCCAGCCTTTCCTGGGTTCATCTTTCCATTTAGGGAGATCTGTTCCAACCCCTCTGGAGATGAACGCCTTACTGGGAAATACTATTAGCTAGTTAGATGGAAGGGCTTCATTGACCCCCTTCCAGGACTTTAAGAATGTTCTCTGAGTATCATTACAATTATTCCTAGTCTAGTTGTGTATGGTCTTGAATAGGAACGTGCTTTCTGTACCTTTCATAAGATCCTCTTGCTCCGCCGGACAAACTCGGAGTACTCTTCTTTCTTCTTTAGAGACAAGACCCCGTGTCCTGGAACTCCACGTTTGAGGACATCTCCAGGCGCGTCCTGAGGACCAGATACACCCTGCTGCCCTACCTCTACACGCTGATGCACCAGGCCCACACGGAGGGCAGCACTGTGGTCCGGCCCCTTCTCCACGAGTGAGTGGATCACCGAGTCCCATTACTCAAGGATGATTAAATTTATATGATCCAATGATTCATGGGTAATTTATTCCTTATTTTCCTCATGATCTATGAATTATCCATTCAATATTTTTCCAATGACCCGTGGGTCACCCGTCCTGTAGAGTCTGATGATCCATGACTCATCCATTCTATATGCATCCTGACGAGGCATAGATATTCCGTTCTGTACTGTCACAACAGATCCTGGACAGTCCTTTCCATGCTATTTCAATGAACTGTTTTATGAGACAGGTGCTTCATTCTATGTGGTTCCAATGTCTCTGGATAACAATTCATTTGGTCATGGATATATCTTCCTCTCTGATCCTTATGGCCTTTCTTTATTATGTCAAAAATTCCATTCTCTAGAGTTCCAGTGGCCCGTGACCCATTCTTTGTGTTCTTGATGACCTATTTTTTGATGACAATCTATTCTATGTAGTCTCCCAAATGCACAGCTATTCTAATCTATTCAGTACTAATTACCTGTTGTTGTTGTTGTTGTTGTTGTTGTTAGGTCCCATTGAGTCGAGTAACATTCACAGTGACCCTATGAACAAAAGATCTGAACCCAGTCCTGTCATGCACCATCCTCACACTTCCTGACACATTAAGAGTCCACTGCAGCAGTCACCTTGTCAGCCCACCTGGTTGAGACCCTTGATGAGATGGATTGATTCAATGACTAGGGTGATGGGGGGTGGGTGTGTTGAAGACGGTTAAGATTGGTACAGGATAGAGCAGGGTTTAGAGCTGTTGTATATAGGGTCGCTATGAGTCGCAGGCAACTTGATGGCACATAACAACAACAATGATGGCCTCAGTGACTTACACCAACCTCTTGCACAAAAGAACAGAGCCTGGCTGATGCAGTGTACCCCACTGATTATAGTGCACCCCACAAGCAGTGCTCTGCTTGGTGCTGTAGTTGCAGTCATTGTGTTGGTCCATCTGGTGAGGATTGTCTTCTCTCTCACTGACTTTAATTTTCCATGTATGTAAGATGTGCTTTTACTAACATCCGTCCCTCTTGACAACAAAGTCTGTCTCTCGAAGTATGAGAGACAAAGCCTCAGCATTTTTATTCCTCTGGCTGCATTTTTTTTCCAAGACAGATTTGGAATTAAGACCTGTCAACTCAAATGCATTGGATGAGAGTGCCAAACATCCCATGGATCGCCAAAAGACCAAACAGACACGTCTTAGAGGAAGTGCCACCAGAGTGCTCCTTGGAGCCTAGGATGAGGGACCTTCGTCTCATATATTTTGGACATGTTGTTAGGAAAGGTTATTTCTTATAAAGGGACATCATGCTTGGAAAGGTGGAGGGTCAGGAAAGAAGAAGTCTCAGAGAGGATTGATAGAGTGTCTGTGGCAATGGGCTCAAATGTGTTTGTGATGATAGAACAGGACAGGACAGGACAGGGTTCAGATCTGTTTATATAGTACAGTGTGAGACATACTCAACTTGACAACATTTAACAGCAACTCTAGTATTACCTTTTGTTAATCTTTTATGTAAAGATTCCATTTGAAACAAGGCTGTGTTCACAGGTACCAGGGGTTAAGACTTGAACATGTCAAAGTTGGGGACACAATTCAACCCACAGCAGATAGGTAGAAAGTGGGCTGCCTGTGCTTTTTCAGGTTCAATTGAAAATGAGTAGACAGTATGCAAAAAACACTCATTTTCTGGTTGGGCCGTAACTTCAGTCTATGTGTCTAGGACTTGACCTTGACCTGTTAGGAGTCTGACTGTGGGGCCTTGGTTTCCCTTCTAGGTTTGTGTCAGACCGTGTGACCTGGGATGTAGATGGTCAGTTCCTGCTGGGTCCTGCCTTCCTGGTCAGCCCTGTCCTGGAGCCTGTGAGTAGAAGCTTGGATGGATGGAGGGCTCCCCCCAGGAAGGATGAACGGGATGTGAGAGGAGAAGCAGTGTATCTCAGGCCGTGAGAGGGGCTTCCTTAATCAATCCCTGCATATTCCTCTTCTGTGAGCTGGAGGTTGCCGTCCATGAGTTCTGAGGTCCATTTCTCTTATCTTTAAAATGTGCTCAGTCATTCTGGTCCACAGGACAGTTCTGGAGAAACAAATGTTAATGATGTTCTCAATGACACTGGAATCTCTTTCACCAGAATAAGAGTATCGGGTCTGGCAGGAGTAGTATTATTTTCAACACAATCTTTTCCAACAATATAACAAAAAAAGCTCAGTTTCCAGGAGTGGCTCCAGCCTCGTTGTCACCTCCAGCCTCGTTGTCACTTCCAGCCTTGTTGTTGTCCCTTCCTCCTGTTTCTCTCCTCCCCCTGCCCCATACCAGACCTTGAGGAAGCAAGAGCTGTTTCTTTCTTTTCTTTGTCAATAGTTAGGCTTTGATTAAAATAGATGCCAACTGCCTCCAATTCAAATTTTGTTGGCCTCTTTGTGCTTTCTGAAGGACATTGTGACTCATACAACATCTTCTGTGCCAGACCTGACCTCGGTCCACCTCTTTACAGAGGGCGTGGGGTCACTGACAGAACCAATGGTGGGTTCCTTCCTCAGAGTCCTGGCTCTCAAAGGATTTCGTGGAAGCCACCAGCTTTGAGTAGGCAAATTCCTGTTGGAGAAGAGGGAATGGCAGGAGACAAATCTCACTGCTGACGTTTCTTTTTTCTTTTTCTTTTCCCCCCCAATACATTATTATTATTAATTTTAATGAAAATTTAGAGATTTTGTATTTCCATTCATTCATTGTTGCACTTTTCTCCCTGCCCACCCCACCCTTCCAGTTCGTTCTTCTCTTTAAAAAGTAAAAGAAAAACTCTTTCATTGTTATTCAATCCCTCCCTCCAAGTCCACTCCACTATGCAGTCTTCATTCTGGACTCCTGTCATGACTATAATACCTAATCATAGGTCCCTTGTAAGCCCTTTTCTCCCTCATCTGTTTCACTGCTGACTTTTTGAGAGAGAGAAGAGCATGTCCTTGGTCAGGACTGTTAATTCAGCACCGTTCCCTTCCAGCTGGTGTTTTAACGCTGTTCCCTCCCAGCTGGTGTTTTAACGCTGTTCCTTCCCAGCTGGTGTTTTAACGCTGTTCC